CTGCCACCCCCACATCCCCTGCCACCCCCACATCCCCTGCCTCCCCCACATCCCCTGCCCCCGCCACATCCGCTGCCCCATGTACCCCTGCCTGGGCCCCCACATCCCCCCCACTCTCTCAGGTGCTAAGGGACGAGCTACAGCAGTACAACCCCAAGCGCCTGCCTGCCTATGTGGAGAAAGTAACTGGGGCAGCCCTGCGTCCTGCGTCCGGACGCAGCGTCCGGACGCAAAGACGCAGGACGCGCGTCCGGACGCAGGACGCACCCTGGAAAATTTTCGGGCAGACCGAGATTTTTTTTTTTTTTCGCGATCGCGAAATTGACATTCGCGATTTCGTCGCGAATGTCAATTTCGCCGAAATTCGACACCCCCCAAGCAAATTCGACCCCCAAAACCAGCCATCTAATTCACCCCTAACCCCCTCCCCTTTTTGCAAAATTGATTTGGAAATCCAACCCCTCTCCACCACTCCACAACTAGGAAACCCAACCTTTGTGGTCCACCACCCCCACAAAGCCCATTTAGTTCATGAAACCTCTCATTTGTGCTCCCTTTTCTCACAACCCAATTCTCTTTCAAAAACCCTAGTGGTTTTAGCTCCTTTCCGCGCACCACCGTTATGGCTAGCTCCTTGTGTTCGCGACCTTGTGTTCGTTGCGCACAACTGGAACGTTGTGCACAACCACCACAAGGGTGCGGCGGGTGCGGGGCCGAGTGGGGAAGTCAGGAAGGCGGGAATAGTGGAGGGGAACATTCCCCCCCGACCCCTTCCCGAGGGGTACAAGCTTGAGGAGGATGGAGAGGTGGAGGTGGATGAGGATGACCTCACCTTCGACGAGTACAAGGAGCAGGAGGATTTGGAGAAGGAGGAGGAGAAGGGGATGGAGAGCGAGGAGGATGAGTGATGCATGTTAGTTAGTGGTAGTATGCATGCATGCTAAACAACCCTTGGACTAATTGTGATTATGGAAATTTGGGGCTCACCTTCATGTTCTATTGTTGTGGCTGAAATTTTGTTGTTGAGGAGAAATTTTGCTATGAAAGTGTGTTCCCCCCCCCCCCCCCCCCCTCTTACCCCCTCTTCCCTCTGCCCTATAACTTTTTTTTTGGCTGCCCGGGGGGTTTTTTTTGGCTGCCCGGACCTGCGTCTTTTGCTGCGTCTCGGGGGCCCTAAACTAGCGTCCAGCGTCTGGACGCATGCGTCTGGACGCATGCGTCCAGGACGCTGGACGCGTCTTTCTCCACATAGCTGCCTGCATGGTGCGACCGGGTGCTCTGGCGGTCGCTGCCTGGCTGCAATCTCACCTGCACCAGATACACCTCCGCGCCCACCATTCTCACTGGGTAGGCTGCTCTGCTGGTTCCCAGATGAATGCACACACTCCACCCAGTTGGATGCAAAAGTCCAAATGGAGCACTGTAACGCTTCCTGCCTTTGCCTGGCTGCATCTCTCCCTGGTGGTGCAGCTGCTGCAGCTGAATATAGGGCATCATTGCTGTCCTTTCCTCCGTCTCTGTCTCTCTGTCTCTCCCCTCTGTGCATGCAGCGACCACAAGCCAGTGCTGGCGGAGTTTGACATCACCACATACACGCTGCCTGTCACCATGGACCCCTCAGAGGACGCCGTGCAGCTGCTCTTAAGGGCGCATCTCCTCCTCTGTCTTTCTCCCCCATGTGCCGTGCAGCGATCACAAACCCGTGCTGGCAGAGTTTGACATCACCACATACGCCCTCCCAGTGACCATGGATCCCTCAGAGGATGCCGTGCAGCTGCTGCAGCTGAGCAAGGGGCACAGCGATAAGGACGACATGCGCTGGCACCTGCATGTGAGTGACGACGGCTGCATGTGAGTGGGACCTGCATGTGAGTAATGGTATCTCAGTCACTGTGCAATAGTTATGTGTGAGGGTGAGAATTTCTGGTACGGTGAGTCGGGGTGCAGCTGAGCAAGGGGAACGGTGACAGACAAGGACGACGACATGCGCTGGCACCTGCATGTGAGCCATGGCTTCTCAGACCCAGTGCATTAGTCATGAGTGAGGTTGGGCTGTGCAGTGAGGGTGTGGGTGTGTGAGGTGAGGGTGAGCAAGGGGCACAGCGATAGGGACGACATGCGCTGGCACCTGCATGTGAGCCATGGCTTCTCAGACCCAGTGCATTAGTCATGAGTGAGGTTGGGCTGTGCAGTGAGGGTGTGGGTGTGTGAGGTGAGGGTGAGCAAGGGGCACAGCGATAGGGACGACATGCGCTGGCACCTGCATGTGAGTCACGTCATGGTTGCATTGCACGTCATGGCGCCACCAACACCTGTTCACACGGACTGACACGTCTACCCACATCTCCCCCGTGCCGTGCCTCCATCGCCCCATCCTCTCCACATCGCCCCCCCATCAGATATTGGAACTGAGGGGCCACAACCTGCTCCCAGCAGACGCCAACGGCTTGTCTGACCCGTGAGTCACCTCTTCCCCTAAACACCCTCTCATCGCCCGAGAAATTCCATGCACTCCAATGCACTTCCCTGCACTCCCTTTCACCCCTCTCCACTCCCCCGCACTACCCTGGTTTCCCTCCCCCTCGCAAAGCCCTATTCCCCACGTCCTTCCCTCCCACTCACGCCCTGTCCTCTCCCCCACGCCCTGCCCTGACTTGCTGCTCCATCCATTCTTTGGAATACACCACATCCTTTGCTCTATATCAACCCCTGCTATGTCTGAGTCACTTATGAAATTTCTCAAAAATTGCTGCTTCGTCCATTTTTGGAATGGACCACATCCTTGGCTCTTCCACTCTCTGCCCTCTTTTGCCCTCTCTGCCCTCTTTTGCCCTCTCTGCCCTCTTTTGCCCTCTCTGCCCTCTTTTGCCCTCTCTGCCCTCTTTTGCCCTCTCTGCCCTCTTTTGCCCTCTCTGCCCTCTTTTGCCCTCTCTGCCCTCTTTTGCCCTCTCTGCCTTCTTTTGCCCTCTCTGCTCTTCCTGCTTCAATCTCCTCCCCACTCTCCTTCCCCACACACACCCCTCACAGCTACATCCGTTTCGTGGGTCCCAACCTCTTCAAGTCCTTTCAGACCAACAAGTGCTAAAAGTCTCTCAATCCCGTGTGGAGCGCTGATATGTCATGCTGCCATTCGCCTCTCCTCTCTCTCCCTTCACACACCCCTCACAGCTACATCCGTTTTGTAGGCCCCAACCTCTTCAAGTCTTTCCAGACCAAGAAGTGCTACAAGACACTCAACCCTGTGTGGGGTGCTGATGTGAGTGGTGGGAGTGCTGCCAGAGAGGTGGCGCTGATGTGATTTCTGGGGCTGGGTGGGATTGCGAGGGGTTGTGTCAGCAGCAGCTTCAATGCGAGCTATTCACAAAGAAGTGCTACAAACAAGACTCACAACCCCGTGTGGGGTGCTGATGTGAGTGCTGGGAGGAGTGGTGGGAGTGCTGGGTGGTTTTGTGCTGGTTGTTTCAGGGTAGGTGACGTTGCTGTTGCGTGCAGATAAAAAGGCTTGTAGCTGCCCCACTGTAGACGATTTCAACATCGCTTTCAGGTACGTTGTGAGCATGGTTATGAGGTTTGGTTACGAAGCTTGTTTGTGAGCCTTGGTAATCATGAGCCTCGGTTATACGCTTGTTTGGTTGTGAGACTTAGTTGAGCGTTGGACAAATGCACCCCACGCTCTGCCTACCTCCTCCCCTCTCTGTCCCACCCCCTCCTTTCTTTCATATGCCTTCCCACTGCTACAGGATGTACCCGCTATAGTGTTGGAGCACCAGTCACTGCATTACTACGAGAAGGACTATCTACTAGCAGCTGTGTTCGATTATGATAAGACAAACAAAGACGACCCTATAGGTGTGTGGTAGCTCCATCCATCCATGTTTGCCATCTGTACCTGCTGTAGTGTTAGAGCACTAGTCACTGTGTACAATGAGAAAGACTATCTACTCGCAACCGTATTCGATTATGATAACCGAGTGTGAGCACTCCCACCACTCACATCAGCACCCCACTACTCCCAACACGGACGACCCTAAAGGTATGTGGACGTTCTGTCTATCCATGTTTGCTCATCTGTTCCCGTTAGAAGCTGTATCCACTGTAAAATGTACCCTCTACAAGCCGTAACCACTATACGACGCTAGTCTGTCGTCAATTGCGTAGGCCATTATTCCATATCATGAGAAAAAATCGAGGCTATGAGAAGCCATGCGGCAAAGCTAAAAGGCACAACCACTGGTTCTCTAACTGATCCTCCTCAATTGAATGTCCCCACCCCACCAGGATACGCTGCAATCCCATTGGCTGATCTTGTGAAGGCCACGTGGGAGCAGTCCTCTCAGCCAGTCAGCTTCCGGGTAGAGGTGACCTATAAGGGCCTGCCAGCTGGCGAGCTGGAGGGCAGCTTCCGTCTTTTCTGGGCGGTGAACAAGCTCAGCGAGGGCAAGTGTGCGCAGATGTAATTGTGTTGACGGGAATGGCGGCAGATGTTATTGTGTTGACGGGAATGGGTGATTGTGTTGACGGGAATGGGCAGGAGATGTGATTGTGTACAAGTGAGTTTTGGCGCAGGCGTGATGATGCAGAGGTTTGTGATTGATCCGCACCAAGGGTGAGCAGCAGATGTGGCTACCTGAAGACATACGGGCAAAGAGCTGTTTGTGGAGCTGCCAAGGCGAGCCCAAAGAGACGTGCAGAGGCAAATGGCACACTGTTGACTCACCGCCGCCTTGCTTATCGTGGATTTTTGGGGGAAACAAGAGCAGTGGTGTTGGTGACAGCGGTGGTAGTGGCGGTATCTCAAAAGACTACCGTATTGCTTTTAAGGCGTCACACGAGCCGAGGTTGTGAGGGGGACATCATAGCAGTTTTCAGTGTTTCCCTTCGGACTGGTGTAGGAGTTACTACAGCAGTGCCCCACCTAGCTATATATCTCTTATGCTGTTACGACCCGCTTTTTGGCATCATGGTTTAGAGGCAGGGTATGCTAGGTATGACAATAGTAGTGTAACTAGGGATATAAGTTATACATCTACTGTTGTAGCGAATTCTGCAGATGCAGTGTAAGTCATTTGCAAGCGAACATACGGTACATTCGTGCAACCATACAACCATGTATGGTATCCAATCCATGTAACCATGTGGGAATGTTACCATGTGGTGCAATTGGTTGTGGTCGTCATGCAGGCATGGAGGCATCTGGTTATGTAACCCATGTAACCAGTGTGCTCCTAGGGCAGCAGCAGGCATGCAGCCGGATTATGTAGCCATGTGACCTTGCAGCCGGATTATGTAGCCATGTGACCTTGCAGCCGGATTATGTAGCCATGTGACCTTGCAGGCATGCAACAATGCAGGCATTTGCGCATGGAAGCATGTACCCATGTGGGCCACTCCGCCCATGCGATGCAACCAGTATGCTCTGCTAAAGCAGCAGCAGGCATGCATACATGTAGGCACGTGGCTATGTGGTGATGTGGCCCATGCAGCCCAGGTGAGTCACGGCCGATGTGTTTTGAGACGTCTCAAAACTATGTGGCTATGTGGCCATGCGGGCATGTGGCCCATGCAGCAGCCCATGTGGCCCATGCAGCAGCCCATGTGGCTATGTGGTCAGGTGGCCCATGCAGCAGCCCACGCAGCAGCCCATGCAGCAGCCCATGCAGCAGCCCATGCAGCAGCCCATGCAAGTCGCGACCGATGTGTTCTGCTAAGGCAGCAGCAGGCATTGGCCCGAGTAGATCTTGTTCACGTCGCACACCTGGTGGCACACAGGAGGGAAACACTGCAAATTAGCAAGACAGTGCAAACTGCAATCAGTCGAAGTTACAACACGTGCGTCCGATCTGTAACAGGTTGCACCACAACCACATGACGGCGCGCACCTCATGAGCCAAGCACCTTGCTTCCGATCTCATTTTTTCAGGCGCCAAAAAAATGTTCTGACATTCTTAGGTGCCTCAAAAATAGGCACCTCATGAGGCAAGCACCTCTCTTCCGATCTCAAAGGTCGTGGCATGGATCCCATTTCGATGTTTAGCTTGAATGCTGTACATGCATCTCACCTCAGGGTTGCGCTTGAAGAACTCGGAATTGGGATCGCACAAGGTGGCTCGGGGGACGAGGGAGCAGAGGGTGTCTCCTGGTCGCACGATCCAGACCCTGCCACCTCACACCAGGCAACAAGAGAACCACATGCTTTTTGAGTCGAATTAAAATAGAACTCTTCGGGTCCCACGCTCCAAATCCTGCACTCACACCAGGCAACGAGAGAGCTTCATGTCATGTGACTGTATGCGAGCCTAACTAATCTAACAAAACAACCTGGTTATTGGAGTTCATTCAACTTGTCCGTCACCAAACAGCAATTGCAAGGCAGACGAGGGCGTCTTCAGGTCTCACATTCCAGATCCTATGCCTGGATCCTGTACCAGGCCTTATCCAGCAGGATGTGGATGAGGCCTGGTGATACCTCGGATGAGGCATAGAGACAACCACATGTCTCTGAATGCAACAAGTGTGCTGCCAGGTTTCACACTCCAAATCCTCAACCACGGACCAGGCTCAATAAGAGAACCGCGTCTCATTGAGTGCGAGCCTACTTCATTTAGAAACAGAACGCGAAGTACTTTTGAGACCTCTTGGAAACACTCTCTGAGTATGGGCCTACATCCGGAAACAAAACTCGAGGAATTTCTGAGAATAAACTCTCTGAGTGCGGGTCTAGTTCATCCAGAAACACAACTCAAGTCTTTGAACAACGCAACGGAGCAAGGGAGACAAATACATGCAAGGGAGATAAATACATGCAAGGGAGACAAATAAACGCAAGGGAGCAGAGCAACGCTCCCACAGTATTGGAAACAAGTCGAAACCCTATGCTCACCAAATGCTCATGCATCCACTTATCCATATTAGATGTATGTCACTCGTTTCTTGTTTGTTACACCACCGGGAACACGATACCTGCAACGACGCTTCCTTACTTTCCGTCCAATTCCTTGGCGCTCCCATTCCTGATGCACCGCCAGATGCGAGACGGGGTGGCACACGTTTGGAACAACGTCGTTGCAGCATGTTACGTCCGTGACAGGCCATTTCAGTGTTGAAGGCAGGCCATTTCCGTGTTCACCCAGCGGCAAGCCACGCAAGGAGAGAGACGGGAGTGCGGTCGGGGACGGGAGCGGGGAACAGGAGAGAGGGGAGGGAAAGGGAGTCGAGAGGAAAAATAGAGGGGAAAAGGAGAGTTGAAAGTGGGCAAGGAGAGTTGAAAAAAGGCATATGGACCACTAACATTTGATATGCTGTAATGCTTGCAGACATAAGATTAGACAAGGATGATGGAACATTAAGTGTTGTGTAATATCATCATATGCTAATACAATTTCCTGCATGTGTTGTGTAGCATGTGCGTGAGTAAGAATCTACGTGTCTTGTTAATGGGGTGCCTCAGAAGTGTTGATGGTTTTCTTTCTTTTTTCCCCACAGTACTACACACCTTGGGAAGTTACGGAGCAATAACGACAAAGCTGTTATCACCCAGATGTTACAGTGACATTGTTAAGGGATTTTTAGGGAGTGGGAACCATAAGGGCTTCGAAAGAATCATCGCTCTACTGTAGCGAATGCAAACGGGTTGGGAAGGAATCAAACCAAGTAATGAAATATGGCAAACTTGCTTGAGTTGGACGGTATGGGCAGGGGAAAAAAAATATCACATGATTGTCAGAACCAAGACTTCGTTTTAAAACTGAGACACACAGCACTCACTCACTCACTCACTCACCTCATTCGCTGCGCCACCTGCAGTGGCGTCAGTGCCTCAACGTGCTGCCTGGGACGGCGTGGTATGAGCACTGCTGCTGCCAGCACCGCCACGCCTCCGATGGCGAGCACCTGAGGTGTGGGGGGGATGAGTGGGTTGGCATTGAGGGAGAGGGGGAGAGCACGAGGCAGGGCGAGGCACGAGCACTGCTGCTGCCAGCACCACCACCCCTCCGATGGCGAGCACCTGAGAAAGTGGGGGGGGGGGGGGGAGATGGGTGGGGTGGTACTGGGGGAGAAGAGCACATGCATGACACATCACATCCTGCCACAATGGCATGCATGGCAATAGGCCCCAGCCCTTATTGCGAAACATGTGAGCCCCACCCCACTCACATGCCTGCACTGCATCCATGGTTGCACCTGCCCCACCGCGCTTATCCCCATGTCACAACACACCCATGTGCCATCACATCACATCGCATTGCATCCCATCCCATCCCATCATCCCATCCTGCCACACTCTCACTCACATGTGTGACCATAAGCCCTACGCCATCGATAAACCGCTGCACCTGCCCCACCACATGCCTATTCTCTTGTCACAATACCCCCACCCCATGTGCCATCCCATCTCCTGCCATCCCACACTGTCACACTCACATGCTTAGCAATAGGCCCCAGGCCATCCATCCACCGCTGCACCTGCCCCACCCCACCACCTCAACACAACTATTCTCTTGTCACAATACCCCCATGTCCCATCCCATCCCATCCCATCCCATCCCATCCTGCCTTATTCACACTCACATGCTTAGCAATAGGTCCCAGCCCATCCATCCACCGCTGCACCTGCCCCACCACCCCCACCTTCTCCGCCACTGCCCGCCTCCTCACACTCCTCACCCCCTTCCGCTGCCCCACCTGCTGCCTCCTCTCCACCCCCTCCCCCTCCCTCTCCGCCTTCCATCCCTCCCCCTTCCTTCCTTCCTTCTCTTCATTCCCTCCTCTCCCCCCTCTTCTCCTAGCACTCCCACTGCCATTGCAGAGACTTGAAGTACGACTAACAAAGCCAGAGTCTCTGCAAGAGCCACTCTTGCTAGAGCTGCCAGTTCCAGTCCAGCCACTGCTGACACTCCACCGGCCGCCATACTCCCTCTCACCGCTCTGGTTCACCATCTCACCGCTCCCAATCACAGCCCCTTGGCTGGCGCGCGGGCGTCGCTTCAGCGGGGAGCTCTTACAAGGAGACTGCTTATAAGGGGACGCGGCTTGGCCATAGGTGGCAGCATCGGTTGCAGCGCTGCTGCTGGGGCAGCTGCTGTCTCTCCTGCTGCTCTCTCTCCTGCTGCTGTCCCTCCTGCTGCTGCTGTGAACGCCCTGCCTCTCCTTGGAGCGCAAACTGGATGCGTCACATACACCTATACCTGCCGTTGCTGCCGCTCCATGGGTGGCTGAACCTTCTGGGGTGGTTGGCCCCTCGTGCAGTGACGCTAGTGGTGATGGCGCTGCTGCTGCCCTGCCTGCTACTGACATGCTCCCCCCTGCTCCTGCTTCAGCCCCTGCCAAAGCCGGATCCACTGCAGATGTCTCAGCACTTGCTGTCCCTGCTGCTGCCACTGGCATTGCCACTCCTCCACTTCTCAGCCCCCCTCCTTCCTCACCTCCTCCCCCTTCCGACCTGCCCACCACACTCCCTTCCGACCTTGCTGGGCCTCCTACGAGTGCTCTCAAACTGCTGGCACTGCCACCAGCGCCCTGGCCTCTCCTCAACACCCGCTGGCCCCCCTGTCCCCCCTGCTGGACCCCCCGCGCTCCCTGCCCCTCCCTCCGCTGTCGGCGCACCTCCTCCCAAAACCGGTCATCCTCTGCCCACCGCTGTAGCAGCAACCCCAGGTGCTCCCCCTTCCCCACACCCTCCCCCCTCCCCACACCCTCTCCCCGCCCCACACCCTCCCTCCGCCCCATCATCCCCGCCCTACCCACACCAACCTTCCCCCTCCCCGCAAGCTCCCCCTGCTCCCTCCCCAGCGCGCCCCTGCCCATGCCTCTCCGCCACCCACTGACATCACTGTACCGACCAGGGAAAGGACGCAGAGAGTCTCTCTGAAGGTTGCTCTCAGAGGCAGCACTAGCACTAGCACTAGCACTAGCACTAGCACTGCCACTGCCACTGCCACTGCCACTGCCACTGCCACTGCCACTGCCACTGCCACTGCCACTGCCACTGCCACTGTCACTACCACTGTCGCCGTTGCAACTTGTGCCCCTGCCATCACAATTGCTGTTGGTGGTGGTGACATTGCCTCCACAACCACCGCCACTGACAGCTGAGCTGGCCGCTGAAACGCCCTGTTGCTGCCACGTGTACATTAGCTGAGTCAGCGATCCCTCGTCACTGAACCTACGGGGCGGGAATGCGGAAGGCGCCTCTTCTCGCGTTGCGCCGAAAAGGAAATCACCCAGGCGACAGCTGCTCGCACCACCACTGCCGCTGCTGCTGCTGCCAATCCAGGTCGTTGGAACAGCTGAAACAGTTGCAGCTTTAGAGAAGAAAATCTCCCGAGCCTCACCCGAGCCTGAGGCCCCTCCACTACCCGAACCTGCTCCATGTTCGGATCCTGAACCTGCCCTAGTTTGGACCTCCAAGCCTGCATTACCAGCAGCAGTAACCGCACCTGCCGAGGTTGATGCGTGCAACCCAGCACTCTCAACGCCAGAGCTGGTGAAAGACCCGACCATGCTGCCATTCCCCCCAGTGGCACCGTGACTAGCTCCTGTAGACCAGCGGCGGCTGAAGGAAGGACTGCTGCTGGCAGTGGTGGTGGAAAAAGAGGACGGGAATGGCTGTGGCTGTGGCTGTGGCTGTGGCTGTGGCTGTGGCTGTGGCTGTGGCTGTGGCTGTGGCTGTGGCTGTGGCTGTGGCTGTGACTGTGGCTGTGGCTGTGGCTGTGTTCCGCCATCCCCAACAACGGAGGTGGAGGAGGAGAAGGAGAGTGGCTGTGGCTGTGCTCGACCCTGTCTGCTCGCAGCAGCCCTCCTCGTCTGAGCGCTCTGTCTGTGGTACGCTCCCCATCCGCCTCCTCCCCTTCCACTCTCATCCCCTCCCGGCCCAAGACAGAATTCACCAGATGGAATCCCACCGGCAACTGCAGCTGCAGCAGCGTCGTTGCCAGCAGCACCACCAGCAGCGCCACCAGCGGCACCAGCAGCAGATTCACCACCACTACCATCTGCAGCAGCAGCAGTTGCAGCTTCGTTTGCCAAACCTCCCCCAGCAGAGCACTCCATGGCCACCTTCCGCACACCCAAGCCCAGGCCTGCACCCGGCCGCCTTCTGACCCGCTTACAAGGCGCCTCGTTATCCACCACAAACCCGTCCTCCTGCGCCACCCGTGCTAGAGTGGACGAAGCTGTTGATAGCCCTGCTGCTGCTGCTGCTGCTGCAGCTGCTGCTGCTCGTGTCGATGCTGCTGATAGCCCTGCTGCTGCAGCGGCTGCTGCTCGTGTTGATGGTGATGACGTGGCTCTAGCAGCAGAGACAGGAAGGGAGACGTTAGAGGGAGACAGAGTGGGAGTGACAACGGTGGGTGGGGTGGCAGCGGCAGAAGCAGAGGCAGACGCAGACGCAGAGGCAGAGGGAGAGGGAGAGGCATGCGTCAACTGCACGTCCCCCTCCTCACCTTTTCTCCCCTCCTTCCCCACCTCACCTCCCCTCTCCATTACCCCTTCCTCTACCCCTTTATCTCCCCCCTCCTCTCCGCCCTCCTTTCCATTCTCTTTCCCTCCCCGTTCCTTCCGTGTTTCCTCCCTCTTCTCCCCCTCCTCTCCATCCATTACCCTCAACCTTTCACTCCCATCATCCGCCTTGCCGCTTGCTCCCATGCCTTGCTGCCTCGACTCAACTTGCTGGCGAACCTGCCAAGGAACGCAGCAAGGGAAGGAAGTGCAAGGGGGAAGGGGTCATGGGTAGCACATGGGTAGCACATGGGTGGTTAGCTAGCACAAGGGTGGCATATGGGAGCACATGCATAACATATGAGTAGCACACGGGCAGCACATGGGTAGCACATGGGCAGAACGTGGGCAGAATATGAGGAGCACATGGGTGGCACGCACGCACCATGGATGCGATTTTGGCTTTCTCCATTCCTGTGAGCATGAAGCTGGACTTGACATGAACACGCGCGCTATTGGTCCACGTCAGCATCTCATCTCGAAATCGCTTCTCCACTATGACAGGCACTCTGAGGGCTGTGGCACAAGATGTGGGGATGACGTGGCAGGATGGGAATGACGTGGCAGGAAGGAGATGACGTGGCAGGAACGTGAAGTGACGTGACGTACAGGATTAATAAGGTGTCATGCACAGGAAGATCACAATTTGCTCTGTATGAAATGGAACAGAACATATTGAGAGGCAGACTCGGGCAAATGAAGGTAACAGGAAACAGGGAAGGCTGCAGCAGTGGGAGCAAACAATCAAGAGTGACACATGAGGGAAGGAGAGACGCAGGTCCTGCTAACACAGTTTCAGTCATAAATGTTAGTAACAGAGTGATGGGTCAGAGGATGCTCACATGTCTGACTGACGATGGTTCCATGTGAGTCGAGGAGCGAGAGGAGCACTGGATCCACCAGGTTCAGCACGGGGCTGCATGGCGATGCACATGAATGCACCAGTGCAGCGCAGCACACACATCACATAACACATGCAGCACACGCATACCATGTGTTCACACGTTCGTCACACACGTGCAGTGCAGCACACGCGTGCGTGCACAACACGCATTCCGCATGCATGCACGTGCACCGCACACACCAGGAGTGCAGAGCAAGGGAACGAGGGTGGATGAGTAGCTTTGGAGTAAAGGCAGCGCACAAACTCACACTCACACTCATCCATTACACAATGAGGAACAGTGCTGAGCAGGTTGAATTGAACACCAGAGGGATGCTTTAATCAGCAGAGGGAGTAGGGAGCAACAGAATCCCGCCAGCGCGTGAACAGAGTGCAACGGAGAGTGCCTGGACGTGGTGGACTGTGGCGGGGAGTGATAGAGAGGGGTGGAAGGTGGTGGAGTGCGGTGCAATGTGCTGGAGGGCGGTGGTAGGGGGCGTACAAGGAGAACTCCGCATTGAAGGCGGGCAGCAGGAGTGCATCCCCTAGCGATGCCTTCACGGACGGCTGAGGACCCGTGGAAAAAACCTTTGATCCAACCGCCACTGGACACGGGGGTTAGCAGAGAGATTGGAAGCGGGAAGGGGATTGAGAGGCAGTCAAAGCAAGTAACTGAATACAAATCAACATTATTCTACTGAAGGCAGATGGCGTGGCGATTTATGAAAAGGGGAGAGTGAGGGGTTGGGGAAATGGGTATGTGGGGGTGGGGTTGTTGTAGAGAGTCAGGTGGTTCACAAAGTGAAACGAGCGTGTTTGGGGAGGAATTAGTTTGGTACAGAGGCAACCCACCCACCTTGCACGGAGAACTGATCGCCTGCAGAATCCTCCAGCCATGCACCACCAGAGCCATGAAAAGATGTCGATCATGCAGCATGAAACAAACCACCAACAGCCATGGTCCAAGTGGCACACACACAGACACCCCATCACGGATACAGCAGCATGCCCGTTGTCATGTCATGAATTGCTCCCTCCGAGGCACCATACACCACACGCACCACATGTATACACCCATCCCACGCATTCCCACTCCCCGCGCTCGAAAGAGCTCCACATGCATAGAAAGCGCCAGCACAGCAGTGCATGCAACACACAAATCAGAGCCACCACCATTTCACGTCAGACGAAAAATCCGCGAAGGAGCATAAAAACGCAAAATCTCAAGAGCCATTGACGTAGGAAAAACGACCATTGATCGTAGCGGCCTGCCGAAGCGTTACCTTGATTCCCTGGCACGTTGACGCATTCCAAAACTGCGCACATGGAATATGGGATATCGCAAAAACAACAGAATTGGAAGTAGCGGCTGGAGCGAGAGCGCAACCGTTTTCGACAAGAATTCGAACTTTCTAAAAACTCCATGGTTTCAACAACGTACCCTGAACGCAGATTGTTCCCGGCATTGTCGCTCCCAAGTCAAACAAGCAATGGTTGCTCTCTGACAGACAATAACTCCCCTTTGACAGCGGTGAAGCACCTTACACGACCACACGGTCACAGCCGTTGTTCAGCCGGGATACAGCCCGAATTGGACGTCTTTCTGGTCCTGAGTGCAATTGGAATTGGAATGCGCGTCGCATTCGTCAAAAACTATGATTTTGCAGCGTTTCTCAATCGTTTAGGTTAATCCTTTGGATCAGCTTGTCTCGACCAGACCAGCATCGCACGGATAATGCGGAGCATGGATGAGAGGTTGATGCATGAAAACCTAGCGCTCGTTCCAAAAAGGACGCTTGTTACGAAGTTTGAAGCACGCGCGTCTGTTTCTGTGCTGCACAAACAATGGCAGCTGGCCAGCGCTTGGTGCTGCCATTGTTTATGTGGATGCATTGCAGAAGCCTGAACAGCGGATGCTCTGGCATCCTAAACCCAGAAAGGATCCATACACGCCGCATTCAAACCCTGCTATATCTATCTACATCCTACAGAGCCGTGTTAAACCTCGAGACGCAACAGTGATCCTGACAGCAATCAAACGTGATCCTCTCTCAACTTGCATTATGTCCTGTCTTGAATCCTGATGGATGCAAACTGGAGCATGAGAGTTTCCATGTGCAGGAGTTGAAGGGATGGGGAACAGAACAGCGGACAACAGAAGAGATGGTTTCCCGTTTGCGGCTGTGAGAGGAGAGATGGGGAACAGAGAGATTTGGAGAAGTTTGCAAATGAGTGGAAAAGGGTGTGTCAACATACAAACATTGAGCATGAAAGGTGACGTGACATGCAATGTAAATCGTCCGATACGAAGCTTCACATTTGACCTGTACCGTAGGATGAGGAGATTCAGTTTTGCATCTCTGAGGCATCAATCATTTCAGTGGCCACCTTCCGGATCTTGCGGACGTGAGTCAATGCTGATCACAATTGCGCCTGAACAACTGTTCGCTACACGTCATACACCAAGCTTGGACCTCGTTGCCACGCTGGCAGCCAAATATCCAACAGGCTGAATCACTACCAAACAGGTCCGTACGAAAACTACACTACATCGCTTTCGTTAGTTTACATGCATGTTACAAACTGCATAGCATGGAATCATAATGATAAATGCTTCTCCCCATGTCATTGACAAAGAGCATCAAGGGAACCATTCTTTGGGAGTTACCTAAATCCTAGTAGAGCAGTAGTAGCTAAACCCGTCCCAGTGTTTACCATATGGCCTCCCTTCCAGGAGTGCAGGAAAAGGTGATAACACTGCACTGACGACACCGCTGCAGCACGCAGCATGCACCGCACAGCAATCCGCTCCCACCACCTTTTCTGCGCTGGGAGCACTAAAACTGTACGGTCGCAACCGTCTACACCCGAGACCCCCCACCCAAACCCCTGCTGAATTCAGACCAGCGGTAATTGCCCTGGCCAGAGCCGTGGCTGCTGCAGCATGCAGCAAGCGAGGCAAACCCCAGGGCTGGAAGGAAGCTGTAGCAGATAGCCTTTAGCGAAGAGACAGTGACAGGTAGCAGTGTGAGCGGATGAGAGCAAGGGAGATTGAGATTTCAAAGGGAGGGACGTGGGCGGAGGGAAGAGAGGGGAGGGGAGCGAGATTACTGTGAAAAAGAGGGAGGGGGGAAGGGGAGGTACAAGGAGGAGACCCGGAGTTAGTGAGAGGATGTAAGCAGTGAAGGAGATGAGTGGGCTGTTAGCGAGAACAAGGAACGAGAAAGAACGCGTGAAGCTTTCGTATGGCAGGAAGAGGGAGCAGTATGAGAGGCGGTTGGCAGAAGTGGTTGGCAGAAGTGGTTGGCAGAGGCGCTTAGCATTGCTACTATAGGAACTCGGATGAGTCATCACTGCGACATGGCTCCTGCACCTGGTGGCGGCCCCATGGAAGGCATCATAGCCATGGGCATGGGCATGGGCATACCCATCGGCATGCCAGGCGCTCCCCTCATCGGCCCCACCCCCCCCATCCCCCCCATGCCCCCCATGCTCCCCATCCCTCCCATCCCCCCCATCCCTGCCATCCCTCCCATGCCCCCCATACCTCCCATTCCTCCCATGCCTCCCATTCCTGCTGCTCCCATGGCTGTAGCGGGGAGGCCTGGCATGGCTGTAGCAGGGCCGGCTGTAGCGGGCAAGCCTGTAGCACCCAGCATGGGTGTAGCAGCAGCTGGGCCTGTTCCTGCTGGCAGGCCGGCTGTAGCATGAACGGCTGTAGCGGGGAAGGTTGTAGCGTGGATGGTTGTAGCGGGGAGGCCAGGCGGCATGGAGATGGGGATGAGGGAGGAGGATGGGGAGGGCGAGAGGACTTGGCAGGCGAGGTCTAGGTTAGGCTTGACTGGGAGAGGCGGCATCTGGCTCTTTGTACCGGGGACTGAGGTCATCCTGTAACGAGGACAGGGCAAGTGGGTGGGAGGGAGGGGAGGAAAGAAGGATAGGTTAGAATTGACTGGGGGAGGTGGCATCTGGCTCATTGTACCGGGGACTGAGGTCATCCTGTAACGAGGACAGGCCAAGTGGGTGGGAGGGAGGGGAGGACGGAGTGGGGATAAATGCATGGGATGTGTGAAGACAGAACGTGAGACTAGATGTGCTTGTGAGAAGAGGGGTTGTGTGCACATGCGCATGCGTGCACATGTGAGTGTGTGTGGCGGGAAGGGGAAGGAGGGGTGGATTAGGAGGTGGTAAGCAAGTGCTGTGAAGCGGTGAGGGGGTTTGCTGTTGAGCCTTAGAGGTAGGTGCGTGGGTATGGATGGGAAACACGCATATACACATAGATGAGCAAGAAAGAGCATCTTGTCTCTCAGGAGGTGGTTGTGTGGTGAGTGTGTGGGTGTGAAGGAGGGGAGTGGTGTGGAGAAGGGGAATGGGTGATGTGAAGGAGGGGAGTGAGTGTTGTGTTGTGGGTGCGTGCACTCACCCATGCACAACCGAGAGGATGTTGTCTCTCAGCCGAATCAGGAATGTGTGTGCGTGTGATGTGAAGGAGGGGAGAGTACATCATTAGAGAAAGAAGAGGGGAATAGGGTGTGCACTCACCCATGGACGACCGAGAGGATGTTGTCTCTCAGCCGAATCAAGAGGCCGTTGCACTCCTGCGACTGGGAGGGGAGTGGGAAAGCAGCAGAGGCGGGGGCAGCAGCAGCAGCAGCAGCAGCAGCAGCAGCAGCAGCAGCAGCAGCAGCAGCAGCAGCAGCACCGGCGGCGGCAAAAGCAAGTTAGCAGCAAAAAAGGCAGTGTTCCTACCCAGCAAGAAGTAACAGGTGGAGGCAGGTGGAGGCGGGTGGAAGCAGGTGGAGGCAGGTGGAGGTGGGTGGAAGCAGGTGGAGGCAGGTGGAGGTGGGTGGAAGCAGGTGGAGGCAGGTGGAGGTGGGTGGAAGCAGGTGGAGGCAGGTGGAGGTGGGTGGAAGCAGGTGGAGGCAGGTGGAGGTGGGTGGAAGCAGGTGGAGGCAGGTGGAGGTGGGTGGAAGCAGGTGGAGGCAGGTGGAGGTGGGTGGAAGCAGGTGGAGGCAGGTGGAGGTGGGTGGAAGCAGGTGGAGGCAGGTGGAGGTGGGTGGAAGCAGGTGGAGGCAGGTGGAGGTGGGTGGAAGCAGGTGGAGGCAGGTGGAGGTGGGTGGAAGCAGGTGGAGGCAGGTGGAGGTGGGTGGAAGCAGGTGGAGGCAGGTGGAGGTGGGTGGAAGCAGGTGGAGGCAGGTGGAGGTGGGTGGAAGCAGGTGGAGGCAGGTGGAGGTGGGTGGAAGCAGGTGGAGGCAGGTGGAAGCATGAATGAAGTCCTTAAGGTACGAGAACCAGGTTACCCTCCGTCATAACAGCGGCATGCCCACCTTGTTTGCCGCCAGTGTCGCCTTGACTTGGGCGATGAGGTCCACGTTTTGTTCGAGTAGCTTGTCGGGTGATAGGTCCCCTGTGAGAGAGGAGAGGAGGGGCAAAGAGAGGAGATGCAACGGGGGCAGCCTTTTAGGCACCTCAAAAGCTTTGACTTGGTAACTGAGCTCCACGTTTTGTTCGAGTAGCTTGTCAGGTAATAGATCTCCTGTGAAAGGGGGGAGAGGAGAGGAGAGGAGAGGAGAGGAGAGGAGACACGGCGGAAAATCAACAAGTATAGAACAAGCAGCCAAGGTAACCAGAAGAGGAGAGGGGAAGCGAAGGGCGGAACAGTAAGGCCAACGGGACAAGAAACAAACAAACTGCATGACAGGCAGAACCACAGCCAGTGAACGTAAAAAACAAACGGCATAGGATGAAGCATCAGAGGGCCACGCCACGACACGAGAAGGCACCAAATAAGAGGGCAAGGCACAGGCAGGGAGAGCGAAAGGACGGGAGTGAGACGAAGTGGGACAGGCTTTGCATTGCAGCCAATTGGAGGGGGGTTGCATCAAAATAGAAGGAGGGTGCGTCAAAATGGAGTGAAATGGGACACAGCAGCCGTACCAGACAGCAAGCTGCCACTGTTGTCAGCACCGTCTGTACGTGTGTCAGCAGCACCACACCCATCATCGCCACCACCCCATTCTGCTGCTGCGCCAGATACACCTGCACCAGATGCACCTCCCCTTGCCCCTCACGCCCCAGCAGACGTACCGGAGAGCAAGCTGCCGCTGTTGTCAGCACCATCTGTATGCGTGTCAGCAGCACCACCACACCCATCACACCCATCACCACCACCACCTCCTGCTCCTGCGCCAGATACACCACCTCCACCAGATACACCTCCCCCTCTCGCCCCAGCACCATCCCCAGCACCTGCGGTTTCCACCTTGACCATACCCTGCCCCCCTGCCCTCGCCGGCCCCCCTCCAGCAGCGTTTCCGCCTGTTCCCCCTGCCCCCACTTCTCCGCCTGTCCCTGCTGCTCCTCCCCCTCCTCCTGCTGCGGGTTCCCCTGTTGCTGCCTGCACTCGCTGCTGTTGGTCCTTGTCCTGTATGCAAACAGCAGGCGAACAGCAGGAGGGCCACCGGGAATGGGTTGAAAGTGGGGAGGAAAAGGGATGTATTAGTCGATGCAACAATCAGTTCCCCTGCTGCTGCCTGCACTCGCTGCTGCTGGTCCTGGTCGTGTATGCGAGCAGCAGGGAGGATGGCGGACATGGGGCCAAAAAAGGGTGGATGCGGGGTGGAAGTCGGAAGGAAGGCGGATGAAAATGGGATGTTCTAATCGAGTTAAGAAATGGTTCCTCCGCTGCTGCTGCTGCTGCTGCTGCTGCTGCTGCTGCTGCCTGCACTCGCTGCTGCCAGTCCTTGTCCTGTATGCGAACAGCAGGAGGCACGGCGGAAATAGGGGTGGGGTGGCAGGGAGATGCGGAAGGGATGGGAACAAGAGTACAAACAAGCAAAAAAAGTGCAGCTCAGAAATCGAGAGGGGGAAACACAGAGGCCGAGGAAAGGAGAGCGGGGGAGACAAAGAGGCAGAAAGAGGCAAGGCGACGGAGAGAGAAGAAGAGAGGGAGAGAGGAGAGAGAGAGGTGATGGAATGGGCTTGCCTTTTTGTCCTTTGGCTTCTTCGCTGCTGTGATCTCCTCTGCCCTCCGCCTCTTGCCCGCCTCCTTCCTCTGAGCCACAGAGGCAAGGGAGCAGACGACACAAAAGGGGACAGAGGATTGCGGGAGACAACACGCACGCGCAGGACAGAGGACAGGGCGAGGGGACAGACGATACGGAGGTCAGTAGGAGAGACACGAGACGGGGGATTCGGAGGGAATGAGAGAGAGAGGGAGAGAGATGAAGAGATGGATGTAGTGGGATGAGCCAAGGAGCAGTAGAGCTACGTAGGGCTAAGATTGACCATTCTGAGCCGGGAGTGTGGAAAAGGAAAAGAGGGAACCGGTGGAGAGAGGATATAAGGGGGGGGGGGGAGGCAATGGGGAATGGGCAGGGACGGAGGTTGCAGGGATGCTTTTCTGACAAATATGCCTCTCTAAACTCAATCGAACCGCCGCGCCAGATATCACCTCCCCCAAGTGCGGCCTTTGAGGAATGTGATTCAAAATCTGAGACACAGCGCCAGATATCACCTCCCCCGGGTGCAGCCTCGCTCACCTGCAGCCATTTGCAGCACAAAGCCACGCGACCTCACCTGCAGCCATTTGCAGCGCAGAGCCACGTCCCGAGCGGTCTTCTCTGGCAGAGACGCCGCGATCTTGAGGTAGCGCTGCGCGGGGGGGAACTGATCCGCGGGGAACCTAGGGGAGGGGCGAAGGGGGAAGGGGGGGAAAGGGGGGGGGGACAAGATAACGGGGGGTTAGAAGAGCGGAGGAAAGAGGAGGAGGGAGGAGAGAATGGGAACTCGGGCAGCTGGAAACTCGCGATTTGAAGGTAGCGCTGCGCACGGAAAAACTGATCGGGGGAAAACCTGGAGGGGGAGCGGGACGAGGGGCGGGAATGAGCGGCGGAAGAGGGAGGAGGGAGGGGTAATAGGCGGAGAGGGCGGAGAGAATGGGAGCAGCCACAAGTGTAGACGCGCTGTTTTTGGGTAGCACTGGCCCAACGGAAACAATTAGGGATAACCTGAGAATGGTATGGGGAAGGGAATGGACGGGACGGGAGGATGCGAAAAAACGCTTGGCAGTGAGAGCGCTAGAAGGAAGGTCTAAACGTGCGGAATGGACGACCGTGGGGACCGTGGATATAGCGGTCGGCGACCGTGGAAAACTGACTTTTGAGTCGACTCAAAAGTCAGCTCGGGATGGATATAGCGCTCGGCGACGTGGGGACCTGGACGGGCTGGAACAGGGATGGATGGATATTCGAGCGTCTGTGTGGGAGTCTGTGGGATCTATGCATGCACACGGCTTCTTCCCCCAGTAACGGGACCGGACAGCCATTTATTCAATATAACTCGAACGCGAGTTGATCGTCCAGCATCTCACTACATTCACACGCCGCCACCGAGGAGACCTAAAATCCCGTGGTTGCTGTTACTGACCGACTTTCGCGTGCAACACTGGACGTCGGCATGAATACACCGAAGACACTATCGCGTGAAGGACGTAACTGCAAACACCTATCACCGGAGGACCGGGAACCGAAGAAAGGCAAGGTTTAGGGCTCTAGGCCACCACTAGCCGTTATTGACGGTTTCGATGAGGCTCGTACGCACGGGAGCCAGAAGATTCATCAAGCGAGCTCCTCGCCAAACGAGCGTACGCGTTCGCAACAGCACTGTCCGACCTGTTGTGACCATACCTCTCTAGAACGAGGGGGCGGTTCGACTGACGCTGGATAGCGTGGGGGTCGCGAATCGGTCGATAGTGTTCCTAAGCAACTCGCCAATGCCAGTCACATCAGCGTTGGATGAAAACGACGACGGGAGACCTCTACACGGCCGGGCGACGTCGCACCCTCAAACAACTTCATCGCGCACCCAACCGAACCCTTCAGTGACTTTCGTGAAAAAACCTTTCAGCAATCCGTTCAGGTGAAGCAGTAGAATGGCTCTCTCCGATACTTATGCCTCGCCATCTTTCTCTACCGATCAATCCGAGAGCCCCACCTTGCGAGCCCTTGATCCAGCAGCCGTTGCTCCAAAGCCGTCCATGCTTCCGACAAATACGGGAAGTGCAGCAGCTGAAGCTGTACGTGCAGCGGCGGAGGAGACGGCGCGGGAAGCGCCAGCGGCGGCGACGGCGGCGGCGATGGCGTCGCCGCCCGCGCCGGTGCCGCCGTTGCAACAGCGGCGGCTGCTGCTGACGGCGATCTTTGAGGCGCGTCGGAAACGGCGGCGACAGAAGGCGATTCTCGAGGCGCCTCAGAGAATGCGGCGGCGGACGGCGCGGGTGGTGCGCTTGCGGCTTTTGGCGACGCTGCAGCGGCGCTGGCACTGGCGCAAGCGGCGGCAGCGGCGGCAACGGCGGCTGAGATGGCGGCGGGGGAAGCTTGCGCCTTGCCTGATGCAGGCTCAGCCTGCATTTTTTACAAGGGCCAGAAGTCATCGAAATGGGACAATATTGTGACTTTCCCGTGACAGATTTCCGTCACGGCATAGTCATGGCCGGAAGTACCAGAGTGTTATGAGTGGTAAAAGAGAGTGCGCGGAATAACGGCCCTGCTCGACAGGCGGCGCGATTCCGAGGTCGGAAGGAGGGGGTTGTCATGGCGATGTTGCAGCCCCTCCTTCCACCATCTTGATCGTGGGCAGGGTCTAAAAGTTTGGGGAGGGATGGCATGGGCACCTGGGTCAATCAAGGGAATAAAAATTTCGTGGGTTGTGGGAGGAAGGGACTTTTTCAGGGCAGAGATGGTAGAGGCTAGGGCACGGGCCCTGGTGGGAAAATTTTCGTAGAGTATGGGGTGGGTATTCCCTCCCATATGAAACCCTAGCCTAGCTCTTGGCCAACCTCCATTCTGGGGATCGTGGGCTGGGCTAGAGCTAGGCTAAAGTCTGCGCGTGAGAGAAGGGGCTGGGAGCTTTCGGGGGGGATGAACTTGAAGGGTTAAAGGGCAGAACCCGAATTGCTCAACGGAAGTCAACGCTGGAAAATAGGTTTGGGAAAGCAGCGAAAATAGGTTCGGAAACCTCCCCTAAACCCTGCTATCCCGAAACCAGCAGGGGTGCTTCACAAACTGGCCCCAGTTTGTGAAGGCTTCTTTGTAATTCGGGGGCTGGGCTTTAATGTCGCGTTCGACAGGCAAATTGCACAAGTTTTTAAAAGATGACGAGAGGGAGTTTTACTGGTTTTAGTTTTACTATTTCGTCAATTTCGTTTTTTTCGCCCAACCTAGCCAGCCCCGCTTTTTTACCCTAGCGGGCGTGTCAGGGTGCGTTCCTGGCTCGTGTCAAACTTCCGGTCTTCCGGGGATGACACGAAGCTGGCCCTACTTTGGGTCATCCGAGACCAACTTCGGGTCTTCCCGCCAAATTTCGCCTCTGTTTTCGGAAGACACAAAGTTTGACAGGAAGTTTGACCTAAACCTTCGGATCTTCCCGGGAAGACCGGAAGTTTGACACGAGCCAGGAACGAACCCTCAGACTTCGAAAGTCCCAAATTGCAGCTGCGCTACTTATCAAAGCTTGCACAGCCCACTTCGTCAAATTTTAAAAACTTGACCCGCGCGGTCCGCAATTTGAGCCGCGGGCTTTAACCCTTCATGTCACTGAGCGTTAAAGCCCAGTGACACTAGATTGCGGGCTGACCGTTGAAAAAAAGCCTAAGTCGAAACAGCCGCGATGATTCTGCGGAGAGTCACTACACAACGGGAGTGGACTACGGAGGAGGGCACGGGGTTGTGCGAGTGATCGTAGCGCACTAGTAGCGTTCTTACTGCTCGCTGTGTTCACAGAGAAGTTTGACAAGAGTTTCCACTAAGGAAGTGAAACAACAATTTGCATTTGAAAAAGTTGAAAGTACAATTGAGGGATGCATAACAAAAAGGACTAGAATGGCATGGAACTCCTAGCAAGGGCGAAATCTGCCAGCGCAGCAGAAGAGCGGCTTGCCAACGTTGCAGCATAGTGGTCTGCCAACCTTGCACAGCGCACGTTCTGCCAGCACTACAGTCGCAGGTGACTATCTGCAGTCGCAGGTAACTATCTGCAGTCGCAGGTTGTCTATCTGCGCAGTTGTGCGCACCTACCATGTAGGTGCAGGCTCACGGTTTCACCGTCAGGCACATTGCGCAGGTGCCAGGTGTCAGAAAGTAGGAATCAAGAATGACTAGAATGACAGCAGTACAGGGTTGTATATGCAAAACCTAATTGGGCTGTACCCCATAAGAAGTGCCCCACTACAGCCTAAAGCATATAAATGCATAGTTCTGACACACCCCCATAGGCAAAGTGGGGGACAAGCGAGAGAACAAGGCAAGGTCAAGCTCAAGGTGGATCACAACGTCACCACGCAGTCCGAGCACAAGCAAATGGCCAGAAGGCCAGTTCACATGCAGAGTTATATATAAAGAAGAACAAGTAATACAGTGATCACAACCTAGCAAGTGTAAGCATGCAGGTATAAGTATATAGATCACAGTACAAGCAAAGTCAAGAAGTGAGCACGTGAGGCCAAGTAGGCACAAGGCCTAGAATAGTACAGAAACGCTGATGATCACAAGGCTGAAGTGCCTTGGTGAAGATATCAGCAGTGTTGGCCTGAGAGGCCACGTAAACAAGACGAAGATGACCACGCTGCTGCAACTCTCGAGTAAGGAAGTAGCGCAGAGCGATGTGCTTCGTTCTGTGCTCCAGTCTGTGCTCCAGACACAAGGCAATCATGGCCTTGTTGTAGACGTACAGAACTGGAGGAGAACGAGGCGCCTCTCCCAAGTCGGTCAGCAGGTAGGTGAGCAAGCGTAACTCCTGTGCGGCCATGGCCCCTGCGTAGATCTCAGCCTCACAGCTGGAGCTGAGAACAGAAGACGAACGGGTAGACCGCCACGAAACAGAACCGGAGCCAAGGCTGAAGGTGTAACCCTGTGACTACCGCTGCGTAGCCAAGTAGACAACCCAAGACGCGTCTGCGTGACCAGTGAGGACAACTGGACCCCGTCCTCCAAGCACGAGCCCCATGCCCGACGTACTGCACAAGTAGCGCATCACCCTCTTAGCGGCCTTCCAGTGCTCTGGTCGATGTCTCCCGGGAGCAACGTAGCGTGCCAGGATGCTAAGAGGGTAAGCAAGGTTAGGTCGAGTGCAGGTCATCAGGTATATGAGGCAGCCCACAAGCTCTGGATACGGGCCACTCGGCTCTACGGACTCATCCGAAGGCAGAGCTGAGAGCGAGTGACCGGTAGGCAGAGGAGTGGACTGTGGCGAAGAGTACTGGAAGTCGAAGCGCTGAAGGACCTGCTGCACCATGTGTGACTGAGTCAGGGTGATGGTGCGTCGTGCTCTGTCCCGGGTGATCTGCAAGCCAAGATAGCTGTGCAGCTCACCCAGGTCTGTGCACGTGTGTCTCTTCTGCAGCTCCGACTTCACTAGGGCCAGTCCAGCAATGTCAGCAGTGGCAAAGGCCAAGTCGTCGACGTACATGAGGATGAAGAACGGCGGCAGCGAAGTAACCGTGCGTAGAAACAACGACGGGTCAGCAGTAGAAGGAGCAAACCCAAGAGCTGCAAGAGTCGTCCTCAGTGTGTCGTGCCACTCGCGAGGCGCCTGGCGGAGACCGTAGACTGGCCGCCAGAGGCTCCACTGGGTACCTGCAGGAAACGACCCAGTGAAGCCAGGTGGGCGGCGCAGCCAGATCTCCTCGTGAAAAAGTCAAGAGAGTGAAGCTCGTAGTCACGCTGAGCGGCGACGTGCAGCAGAACCCGAAGAGTGGTCATCTTCGGGGTCGGGGAGAAGGTATGGAAAAAGTCAACTCCCTGTCGCTGACTGAAGCCTCGTGCAACGTAACGCGCCTTGAAGACAGGCGGAGAACCCGGCAGCCGCTTCACCCTGAAAATCCACATGCCACTGACGATGTTCGCCCCAGGTGGGGGAACCTCGTCGACGTAAGTGCCTGTGGATTTCCAGGATGCCATCTCTGCGTCCATGGCTGACTGCCACTGAGAGGTGTAGGGACCCTCTATCGCCTCTGCGTAAGAGCTCGGGGTCGGGATGTCTGGTGCATCCGGGTCTCCCTCAGGTGCAATCAGCATGGACACGAGATAAGGTACAGCAGCTGCAAAGCAATCAAAGTCCTCCTGCCTGTCCTCAAGGACGTCCGTGCCAAGAGCACTCTCATCCCCGACGGACGGAGGACAGACAGACTCGGACGCAGCAACAAGACTAGCGGCGTAGTCTAGACGACAGGCGGCAGCAAAGTCAACCAGCTCAGCAACAAGAGCAGACGCAGCAGTAGACGCAAACGAAGGGTCAGTGACAACAGTGGCCAGGAGACGCGTGCAAGTAGGACTAGCAGCACGAAGGGAGTCAGACTCCGGGTCCGGACCGTCAGCAAGGGAGGACGCAGGAGGAGACGGCAGAGGGACACGCAGTGGAACAGAGGAAGGACGAAGTGCCATCTGGTGCGTGCCGGGGACAGGAGGAGGACGCGGACGCGGAACACGATGACCAGTGCGAGCAGTGCGAACAGGCGACGCAGGACGAGACGCAGGCTCACGACGCTCTGCAAGACCTCCGTTCGGCCCAGTGTAAGGAGAAGGACCAGACAGTGGGGAGGCTGGCTGTAACTGCGACTGCGACTGGTCAATGGCAGACATAGTAAGGGAGGAGTAGGACCCGTAGAAGGCGGGAGACCAAGAACCTGCTGAAGGAGTGGAACAAAGTACGGCCGCAGCCGCGCAGCGCCTCCAGAACCAGCAGAGACAGCACCAGTACCCCTAGCTCCAGGGTCTCCAGCACCAACTCCTGCAGCACCACCAGCTCCAGCACCTCCACCAGCTCCAGCTCCAGCAGCACCTCCAGCAGTAACAGCTCCAGCGCCTCCAGCTCCAACTCCTGCAGCACCACCAGCCCCAACAGCTCCAGTACCTCCAGTACGAGCACCTCCGGGACCAGCGGCTCCAGCAGCAGCAGTTCCTCCAGCTCCAGCAGCAGGACCTCCAGCTCCAGCAGCTACGGAACCTCCAGGACGAGCACATCCGGGACCAGCGCCTCCAGCACCTCCAGCAGCTACAGCACCAGCAGTACCTCCAGCGTCAGCAGCACCTCCAGCAGTAGGCCCCCCAGCTCCAGCAGCACGACTCCAGCGCCGAGCAAACCACTCGCGCAGCTGCGGTGGAGAGAGTGGCTCCCGCCGTGACAAGACACCCGTAGGATGTCCAGAGGACAAAGTACCTCCAGGCACAGCAAGCTCAGGCTCAGCACCCCCAGGCTCCGCACGCTCAGGCTCAGCACCCCCAGGCTCCGCACCCTCAGACTCAGCAACCCAAGGCTCAGCACCCCCAGGCTCCGCACCCTCAGACCCAGCAACCCCAGGCTCAGCACCCCTAGCAGCACTAGAATCGTCAGCTACCTCGACAGGCTCGACAGGGTCTACCTGGGACACACCTGAGGGGGCAGGACCCTGAGGGGGGGGTGGGGTCTACCGGAGGAGGACCTGGTGCGAGAAAGTGCGGCGGGGGGGGGAGAGGGGCAGTGCGGTAGGGGAAGAGACGGTAGTAAGGAACCGACTCGTCAAACGTGACGTCCTAATAGGACAGAACACGACGCGAGGTGGGGTGGTAAAACTGCCAACCAGGCGCGTCAGGGGGGAAGCCAAGGAAGACGCAGGGAACAGCACGGGAGGACAGCTTGTCCGCGAAAGAATCGCGGACAAAAGCTCGAGATCCCCAGACACGGAACGCAGACGCATCGCCAACCTTCCCCGTCCACCGCAGAGCAGGTGTGGTCTCCGGCATGTAGACACGGGGCTGGAGGTTGAGCTGATGCGCTGCGTACTGAACCGCGAATGGCCGCAGAAAATGGGGAGCAGCCGCATGGATCATGGACGTACGAGCGACGTCCATGACCATGCCAATGCGGCGCTCAGCAATCCCATTTTGCTGTGGGGAGGCCGGAAGCGTAAACGTCTGGCGGATGCCCTCCGCATGACAGAAGGCCCGCAGAAGGTCGGAGGAAAACTCCCCACCTCTGTCGGAGTGCAGACGCAGAACAGGAAGGTCCGAGCCGAAACTCTCGCTGAGCTGGCGACGGGCAGCGCGGATCCAGGTGATCAGCACCTCAGTGACCTCACCCTTGCGGCGCAAGGGGAAGACTGTGGTGTAACGCGAGTGGTCGTCAACGACCAGCAAAAAGTAACGCTCGTGACCCTGTCCACGGACGCGGGCTGGCCCCACACGTCCATGTGGAGAGTCTGCAGGGGAGCATCCGTCGGAGGGAACTCGGAGGAGTGAGGAGCGGTGCGCTGCCGTTCCTCGACGCAAGGAACGCAGGTAGGGGCAGGCCCCGGGGGGAGGGGGGGGAGAGACCGGGGGAGACCAGTGACAAGGAAACGGGAGGCCATACCTCGGAGACGAGGCAGGGAGGGGCGACCAAGGCGGTGGTGCCAAAGGAGAGTCTGGTGTGACAGGAGACGACACGAGCAGAGGGCAGACTCCGGACCAGACCTGGACGCGGCACCAAACACCTGACCAGACGCGGCTACCTGACCAGACTCAGCAACCGGAGGAGACGCAGTAGTCAGTGTGTACAGGCTAGACCCAGGCCGACGGGTGAACGTGGCCAGGTGGCGGCCCGTCCGAGTACACATAGAGTGGGTCACCCGCTGACCCCCAGGAGTGAACTGGTCAACCCACACGTCCTGGAGGTTAGCTCCACTCACCAAGTTCGTAGAGAACGAGGGGAGGTGAAGACCCGACAGTGAGCCAGACGGGACCGCCGGACACGGCAGAACCGTAGAGGAGTGCGCAAGGACTGGGCCCCCAGAGGGGTCAGCCAGGGAGACAGCAACCGGCCGACTAAGCGGCGTGAGTGTGGTGTTGTCGCGAAAGAAGGAGCGGGAAGCACCTGAGTCAAGCGTGAAGGTGTGCAAGGCCTCAGCAGGCGCAGTACCTGAGAGAGCAGACTCACTAGTACCTGGAGCAGCAGACTCACTAGCACCTAGAGCAGTAGCCTCTATACCTAGGTCGGGCGGCACACAGAGGTAACAGTCGCCCTCAGCACTAATAGTCACAGCATACATGGCAGCAAGGATAGCATCGTAATCAAGATCAAAGATAGCAACAACAGACTTAAGCAGATCAGCCCAGCGAGGGAGCTTAGTCGCGTCAGGAAACTGTGCACGCCAGGCGCCAGACAGGCGACCGAAACAGCGCTGCGTCGCATGTGGCAGCCCGCACGTCTCCCCACGGCGCTCGCCGGTGCGGAGAACGTAAGCGCATGGACCAGCACCCCCAGACCTCCCACGCCCAGCGTACCACTCACGAAGCTGCTGGGGCGACGGGGCCTCACGGGGACGCGGCTGCTGCTCTCGCTGGCTACCGCCAAAGCCTCCACGCTGCGCGGCTCCACCCCGACCAGCACCACCGCCGCTGCCACCCCCACTGCCGCTGCCGCTTCCGCCCCCACCTCCACCGCCGCCACCGACGCCCCCACTCCCGCCACCACCCCCACCTCCACCCCCACCCCCTCCGCCTCCTCCACCGCCACCACCGCTGCCCCCGCCGTCCCCTCCACCACCATTGCCCCCCCTGCCCTTGCCGCTGCGGCGCCTCCCACTAGGAGCAGACGCAGCCCCGACCTCATCGGTGCCAACGAGGTCGACAGCAGCAGCAGAAGCAACAGAGGGCAGAAGGGGAACGGGGGAACACCCTTCAAAGAGAGGGGCGCGAGGGTCGCCGCGAGAAGCTCCTACAGCGACTATGCTAGTCTCAGCTGCAGTGAGGTGCTCCTCGAGCAGGTCGACAATGAGCTCGATGGGGCAAAGGGAGAGAAAGTGGTCCCTGACTGAGCGAAGAGAGTAAAGGAGACGGGTGACGAGGTAGAAGAGGGTGATGTACACGGGGGGGGGGGGGGTTCTTGGCGCGAAACTCGGAGGGAAGCGCAGCGCTGTAGCGGGTGTGACTAGTGCGGAGGTGAGTGATGAGGTCAGCGACTGTGGCAAAGGCGGCCAGGTCAGGGAACAAGTACGGCAGCATGAGGCGGCTGAGGGCAGCAGTGGCAGGGGAGGAGTAGCGTGCGACGACAGCGTCATACAAAGACTTAGCAGTCTTGTAATGGCCAAAGTGTGCGCGCTCAGCAGACGGCAGGTGACTACGAACAGCAAGGCGAGCAACAGCATCACGAGTAGTCCACTGCGAGCGAACCGTACTGTCAGCATCGGCAGCAGGTGCAACAGAGGCGCCGTACGTGTGATCGAAAAGCGAGACTCCGTCCCTAGAGTCGCACTGAAGATAGAGCTGCAGGTCATCTACCTAAACTTCGAAATCGACCGCACGACCCTCAGCATCGAAGGTAAGAACAGTACGGCTAGCCATGGCGGCAGTAGCAGCAGCAGTAGCAGTAGGGCAGAGCGGCGCGGCTCGGCAGGGCGGCGCGGCTCGGCAGAGCGGCGCGGCTTGGCTGGGCGGCGCGACGCGGCAGGCAGGTGGGCGCAGCGGCGCGCTTGGCAGGGCGGGCGCTGCGGCGCGCTTGGCAGGGCGGGCGCTTACCAGGGGCGGGTGCAGTGCAGGGCCGCGACTGGCGGTTAGGGCAGGGCCGCGACGAGGCGGCAGAGCAGGGCCGCGACGGGGCGGCAGCAGGGCAGGGCCACGACGAGGCGGCAATAGAGTAGGGTCGCGACGGGGCGGCAGCAGGGCAGGGCCGCGACAGGGAGGCTGCAGGACAGGGCCGCGACGGGGCGGCGGTAGAGCAGGGCCGCGACGAGTGGCTGAGGGCAGGGCCGCGACAAGTGGCGGCAAGGCAGGGCCGCGACGGGCGGCTGGGTCAGGCCGCAACGGGCAGCTGGGTCAGGCCGCGGCGGGCGGCAACTGGGCAGGGCCGCGACGGGCGGCGACATGGCAGGGCCGCGACGGGCGGCTAGGTCAGGGCCGCGACGGGCCGTTAGGGCAAGTCCGCGACGGGCCGGGAGGGCAGGGCCGCTACGAGTGGCAGTAGGGCAGGGCGCGCGACGGTGCAGGTGAGGCAGGCGCGAGGCGCGCTTCGGGCAGGGCAGGAAAGTAAAATTATCGTGGTGGGCCCTAAAAAAAACATTCCCACTAGGGAACCTGCTCTTAAACCATGTCAGAAAGTAGGAATCAAGAATGACTAGAATGATAGCAGTACAGGGTTGTGTATGCAAAACCTGATTGGGTTGTACCCCATTAGAAGTGCTCCACTACAGCCTAGAGCATATAAATGCATAGTTCTGACACCAGGTAGAAAACGTGTCGTCGGTTTTGCCAGGTGCGCACCGTCGACCACGTGATGCCGTTCCGAAGGTAGAACTTCGCCAAAATCTCCTGGGCGAAAGTTCGCACGCCTCCGCAGAGTTTCGCACAACTCTGCAACTTCGGTCGATCAGCTCGACATCGCTCGGTCGAACAACGTTCGCACCTTCCTAGGGGTGGTTTTGGGGGGCGTAGTTAGGGTACACCCTTTGCTGCCTGCTGCTTCGTTGGCGAATTTTCCAAGCTTTGTAGAAGCTGGGGCGTGGTGTACAACCAGGACTGGCGAAGCCAACCCATTTCGGACAAGCACATGGGCGCGCCTCTGTCCAATCAGAGGTGTTTTGAAGGTTGGTTAGGCGGAACGAGCACGCAGCCTGGCGGAACTCACTCCCGGAAAGCGCAAACAACAAATCTGAAAGAAAAACATGTGCCTGTCGAACAGAACAAGCGTAGATACCACCATCTCGCTACTAATAAAGCGTCTCTCCATTACGACTTAGTCCACGCCATCGTGTGCTGTCCCCTACGGTATCAGGAGAGCACCATCGCAGGCTACTGGCGACAGCACGGCTAGAGCGCGTAAGTCACGGGATAACCGCCGCGTCGTTCTCTCGAACTGGCCGAAAAGAACGCGATGGCGCCATCTCGCACAATGTGATCCCTTCCTCGCCGGGAGTAAGGCGCCGTCTCCTCTCGCCTCCCCGCCAAATGCGCCAACCCGCTCAGCACGCCGCGAGTGACCTCCAATGCTTAGTCGTATCCTCACTGCCGCTGAATCGCAACATCGCACCCCCATCTCCACATCGCCGATGCGACTATAGTTTAAGCGCGAGGAAAACGTGGCTACATCGCCGCCTCGCCGCCGTAACGCCTCAAGTGCTTCCACATCGCCGTCGTGGCGCCACATCGCCGCCACATCGCGAGCGAGCCTCGTCGCCGCCTCATCGCCACCATATCGCGATCTCTCGCGTGGCGGCCTCATCGCCACCACATCTTTGCCTCGCCCGCACATCGACTCCTCGTCAGCCCCGCCTCCTCAACGGCGTTCCGCCTCCAGTTCGCCGCCTGCTGCATCGCCGCGTCAATCGCCGACACTTCCACCGCTGCGGAGGCGTTGCACTCATGCTCCTCGAACAGCTCCCCCCCGCCCCCAATCCAACAACCCCCCCCACCCCCCCCCCCCTCCCTCCCCTTTTCCAATCACCTCACCCCACTACACGTGCTCCGTCAGCTCCCTCTGTACCCTCCCTGCCCTCTGTTTAGCTGTTCCTATCCCATTGTCATGTTCCCCCTCTCCTGTCTTCCCTATTCCCCACCCCCCCCACTCCCAGGCCCCGGTCCTCCAACCTCCTTCAATCTCTCCTCTCTCCCCCTGTCCTCCTCTCTGTCCCAATCCTCCTCTCTCCCCCTGGCATCCTCTCTCCCCCTGTCCTCCTCTCTCCCCATGACCTCCTCTCTCCCCCTAGCCTCCACTCTCCCCCTGTCCTCCTCTCTCCCCCTGGCATCCTCTCTCCCCCTATCCTCCTCTCTCCCCATGACCTCCTCTCTCCCCCTGGCCTCCTCTCTCCCCCTGTCCTCCTCTCTCCCCCTGGCCTCCTCTCTCCCCCTGTCCTCCTCTCTCCCTCTGGCCTCCTCTCTCCCCCTGTCCTCCTCTCTCCCCCTGGCCTCCTCTATCCCCTGGCCTCCTCTCTCCCCCTGTCCTCCTCTCTCCCCCTGGCCTCCTCTCTCCCCCTGTCCTCCTCTCTCCCCCTGTCCTCCTCTCTCCCCCTGGCCTCCTCTCTCCCCCTGTCCTCCTCTCTCCCCCTGTCCTCCTCTCTCCCCCTGTCCTCTCTCCCCCTGGTCTCCTCTCTCCCCCTGGCCTCCTCTCTCCCCCTGACCTCCTCTCTCCCCTTGTCCTCCTCTCTCCCCCTGTCCTCCTCTCTCCCCCTGTCCTTCTCTCTCCTCCTGTCCTCCTCTCTCCCCCTAGCCTCCTCTATTCCACTGTCCTTCTCTATCCCCCTTTCCACCTCTCTCCCCCTGTCCTCCTCGCTCTCGCTTGTCCTCCTGTCCAACAGGTTTAGGTCCTCTCTCCTCCTTGTCCTGATATCTCCCCCCTGCTTGTGCGAGGGAGGATATAACAGGACAAGGAGGAGAGAGAGCACCCCTTACACCTGCGAGGTCAACTCCCTCCGTACCCTCCCCTCCCTAGCCGGGACTTTACCACCTGCCCTCTTCCCGCAGGTCTAATCTCCTCCCCTCCCCATATCCCATCATCATGTTCCTGCTCTGCCCTTTCTTCCCTATTGGGGGAAAAGTAGAGTGGAAGGTCAAGGGGAACGGAGGTGGGTATGTGGGAAGGAAGGCGAGTGGTATGTTAGAATCAGCAGGCAGGAATGATGGACTAGGTAGCATGCATGAGTACAAGTACCTAACCCTAAAGTGTTGTACCCCTTGTAGGCTAACCCACTATAGCCTAGAGATAACACAAACATACAGTTTGACACACCCCCATAGGCTAAGTGGGAGATAGCAAACACAACAGACGGTCACAAGACCAGTCAGGCAAGAGAACAAAGCAAAGCAAAGCAAAGCCCAGGGTGGATCACAAGGTCACCACGCATTCTGAGCACAAGCAAGCAGCCACAAGACCAGTTCACATGCAGAGTTATAATAGCAAGGCAGTACACTGATCACAACCTAGCAAGAGTAAACAAGCAGGTATAAAGATATATAGTAGTGTAGTAAGTCAAGCTACCAGCAGGTGAGGCAGAGTGGGCACAAGCCCAAGAGCAGTGCAGAAACGCTGATGATCACCAGACCCAAGGGCCTTGGTGAAGACATGAGCAGTGTTGGCCCGAGAGGCCACGAAAGCAAGACGCAGCTGACCACGCTGCTGCAGCTCACGCGCAAGGAAGTAGCGAAGAGCAATGTGCTTCGTTCGGTGCTCCAGTCTTTGCTCGCGACACAAGGCAAGCATTGCCTTGTTGTCGACGTACAGAACTGGAGGAGAACGAGGCCGCTCCCCCAAGTTGGTCTGCAGGTAGGTCAGCCAGCGGAGCTCTTGTGCAGCCATGGCCCCAGCGTAGATCTCGGCCTCACAGCTGGAACCAAGCACAGAAGAAGAACGAGTGGACCTCCACGAGACAGAACCAGAGCCAAGACTAAAGGTGTAACCCTGTGACGAACGCTGAGTCGCCGGGTCGTCGGCCCAAGAAGCGTCAGAGTGTCCTGTGAGGACCACTGAACCCCGTCCTCCAAGCACGAGCCCCATGCCCGATGTGCTGCACAAGTAACGCAGTACCCTCTTCACAGCATCAAAGTGCACCTTTCGGTGTCTACCGGGTGCCACGTAGCGAGCCAGAAGGCTGAGAGGGTACGCGAGGTCAGGTCGTGTGCACGTCATCAGGTACATGAGGCAACCCACAAGCTCTGGGTACGGACCACTCGGCTCGATGGACTCGTCCGAAGGTGGAGCTGAGAGCGAGTGGCCGGTAGCCAGAGGAGTGGGCTGTGGCGAGGAGTACGTGAAGCGGAAGCGCTGAAGGACCTGGTGCACCATGTGTGACTGAGTCAGGGTGATGGTGCGCCGTGCTCTGTCCCGGGTGATCTGCAAGCCAAGATAGCTCCGCAGCTCACCCAGGTCAGTGCAGGTGTGTCTCTCCTGTAGCTTCGCCTTCACTAGGGCCAGTGCCTCAATGTCAGCAGTAGCAAAAACCAAGTCGTCGACGTACACGAGGATGTAGAACGGCGGCAGAGTAGTGTCGATGCGTAGAAACAGCGACGGGTCAGCAGTCGAAGGAGCAAACCCAAGAGCCGCAAGTGTCGTCCTCAGTGTGTCGTGCCACTCGCGGGGCGCCTGAGGCAGGCCGTACACTGGTCGCCGTAGGCTCCACTGGGTACCCTCAGGAAACGACCTAGTGAAGCCCTGTGGACGGCGCAACCAGATGGCCTCGTGAAGGCTACCCTGCAAGAAGGCTGTCGAGAAGTCGAGGGAGTGCAGCTCGTAGTCTCGCTGAGCTGCAACGTGTAGCAACACCTGAAGAGTGGTCATCTTCGGGGTGGGGGAGAAGGTCTGAAAGAATTCGACCCCCTTACGCTGACTGAAGCCTCGAGCAACGTAACGTGCCTTGAAGGCAGGCGGAGAACCCGGCGGCCGCTTCACCCTGAAAATCCACATGCCACTGACGATGTTCGCCCCAGGTGGGGGAACCTCGTCGACGTAGGTGCCTGTGGACTTCCAGGAAGCCATCTCTGCGTCCATGGCTGTCTGCCACTGAGAGGAGTACTCACCCGAAATCGCCTCCCTATAGGAGCGCGGGGTGGGGATGTCAAGTGCATCCGGGTCTCCCTCAGGGGCAAGCACCATGGTCGCGTGATGGGGTGAAGCGGCCGCAAGGCACTCCAGCTCCTCCTGTCTGTCCTCAAGAACGTCACAGCCAAGGGCAGTACAGCCAAGGGCAGTCTCACCCCCGACGGACGGAGGACAGGCAGGGACAGGGTCAGAGACAAGACCCGCTAGGTAGTCTAGGCGGTACACAGCAGCAAAGTCAACGAGCTCAGCGACTAAGGCAGACGCAGCATGAGACGAGAACGTAGGGTCTGTCACAACCGTAGCAAGGAAGCGAGTAACAGTCGGACAAGACGCACGAGCAAGGTCAGACGGAGGGTCAGCAACGTCAGGAAGAGAGGACGCAGGAGGTAATGGTAGGAGAACACGCTGTGGAACAGAGGAAGGACGGAGTGTCATATCGTGTATGCCGGGGGCAGCCGGAGCACGCGGACGACGAACACGAGGAACACGAGCACGGACAGCAGCTCTAGGCTCAGGCTCAAGGTCAAAGCTAGACTTAGGCTCTCGACGCTCAGGGGTGGAAGCACGAGTCTCAGGCTCTTGACGCTCAGTCAGGGACTGTGTCACCGCAGTGTAAGGAGCAGGAGCAGGCAGTGGGGAGTGCGGTAGCAGCGGCGGCTGTGACTGATCCGCCGGTGAAAACAGTAACTGAGGAGTAGTACCTGCCACAGGGAAGTCAGTAGCACCTGGCGGAAGACTGAGAAGGTGGCGAAGAGCACCAGCAGCTCCCGTACCTCCAGCACGAGCAGCTCCTCCAGTACCCCCAGCAACACCTCCAGTACCAGTAGCACCAGCACCTCCAGCACCACGAGCTCCGACAGCGCCAGCACCTCGAGCTCCGACAGCGCCAGCACCTCGAGCACCAGCAGTACCTCCAGCACCCCCAGTGCCTCCAGCTCCACCTCCAGCGCCTCCAGCACCAGTAGTACCTCCAGTACCTCCCGTGCCAGCAGCTCCAGTAGCACCTCCAGCACCTCCAGCACCAGCAGCACCAACTGCTCCGGCAGCTCCAGCACCTCCAGTACGAGCACCTCCGGGACCAGTAGCTCCAGCACCAGTAGCACCAGCACCTCCAGTGCCAGCAGCTCCAGCACCCCCAGCACCTCCAGTAACAATAGTACCTCCAACACCAGCAGCTCCAGTACCCCCAGCACCAGCAGCACCTCCAGCACCTCCAGGCCTAGCAGCTCCAGTACCTCCAGCACCAGTAGCACCTCTAGTACCTCCAGCAATACCTCCAGGCCTAGCAGCTCCAGTACTTCCAGCACCAGCAGCACCTCTAGTACCTCTAGTAGTGCTTCCAGCACCTCCAGCACAAGCAGCACCTCCTGGACTAGTAGCTCCAGCACCAGCAGGACCGTACCCTCCACCACCAGGACTGCCTCGCCGAACGACCCACGCACGAATCGCCTGCGGCGAGAGCGTCTCAAGTAGAGCAGGCTGCGGTGGCTGTCCAGCTCCAGTACCTCCAGTAGTGGTAGCTCTAGCACCTCCAGCACCAGCAGCAGCTCCAGTACCTCCAGTACCAGTAGTACCTCTAGTACCTCCAGAAGTACCTCCAGGCCTAGTAGCTCCAGTACCTCCAGCTCCAGGACCTCCAGAAGGATTCGCAGCACCCCCAGAGTCAGCACCCGAAGTCTCAGCACCCCCAGAGTCAGCACCCAAAGTCTCAGTACCCCCAGGCTCAGTACCCTCAGTCCCAGCACCCGCAGGCTCAGTGCCCTCAGTCCCAGCACCCGCAGGCTCAGTGCCCTCAGTCCCAGCACCCGCACGCTCAGTACTCTCAGTCCCAGCACCCGCAGGCTCAGTACCCTCAGTCCCTGCACCCTCAGTCTCACCTCCAGTGTCCACTGCAAAAGGCTGCAGAGGCGGGAAACCGGGGGGGGTAGCCAAACGAGGAGAGCGGACACCCCCAGACGTACCACTCCCAGGCCCAGCTCCAGCAGCCTCAGCTCCAGAGTCCACAGTAGCAGGCTGCGGAGGTGGCGAAGACGGCCGAGGCGGGAAACCCGCGGGGGTCTCCAAGCGAGGAGTGCGGCAAGTGGTCGCCGTGTCGTCGTCGGCGGTGTCACCCCCCTCAGCTGGGTCAGAGGAGTCAGAAGAGATCTCCACTGGCTCATCCAAGGGGGGTGGGTCTACCTGAGACACACCTGAGGGAGCAGGACCCTGTGGGGGAAGGGGGTCTACCGAGGGGGGGACTGGTACCAGGAAGAGAGGCGCGAGGGGGACCGGGTGGGACGCGTGTGGGTGAAGTCGGTAGTAACAGACCGACTCGTCGAAGGTGACGTCCTGAGAGGACAGAACACGACGCGAGGCAGTGTGAGAGTACGACGGCTTATGCTGGCTTTGCTAGCTTGCCTGGACTTTATTCTGCTATTACTAGCTTAGGTTTTATTTATCATGCATAGATATGCTTGATATCCTAGGTTAGGTGCATTCCTATATGTTATTATAGTTATATCACTGAACCGGGTTACGTGTACCGAACTCAAGCCTATTCGGTTTCCACCGAATTGCTTCTACTGAGTTCGGGAAGGTTCTGTTCG